ACACACACACACACACACACACACACACACACACACACACACACACATGTGCGCACGCGCACACACACATGTACACACACATACATACACACAGTACATAAATAAATATAAAAATAATTTAAAACTTTGAAGAAAACATAAAAAAATCTTTGTGACCTTGGGATAAAGAGTTCCTACATGTGATGCCAAAATCACAACCAACAAAAAAAATTGACAAAAGACTTAATAAAAATTATGCACTTCCACTTTGTACATCACTTATCAAGAGGATGAAAAACAAGTCACAGCCTAGAAGAAAACTTTCACAAATTTCACATGTGACAAGTGACAGGTGTCCAGAGTGTACAATGAGCTCTTTAGACTGGATAGTAAGAAGGCAAAAATTGTGGATTTTATATGTGCAAAGGATTCTAACAGTTTAGTAAATAGGACACAGACACAGAGACGAGATATTTAACATCCTTGGTCAAGAGGAAATACTAGTTCAAATGATGAGGATCCAGCACTTACCCACCAAAATGACTTTGGGTGAGGGAAATAAAACCAAAGCAACCACAAGAACATGGAGCAGTGGGAACCTTCTGAAAGCATCTTTCATCTTGTAGTTTGAATTTCCTGTCCTGGAGATGAAAGAAAGACCCCTACACGTAACCTACTTGGTTCCAGACAAAGCATGGCTGGAAACATGGAAAGAAGAATGCAGGTGTGGAAGGAGGAGTAAAGGAAGTGGTGAGGGGTCAGCTTATGGAGTAGACTGTGGGTGGGGGTGTGGAGCCTAAAAGGGAGGTATAAAGGGACGTCCAGACATGAGGAGGGAGATAGGACAGGAGGTGTTGAAGAACACGTACTTGGTTAGGATTCGGTCAGACTACTCAGGTATCTTGAGTGCTGTGTGCATACTCTGTGTTTTATAATTTAATACAAAAGTTTAAGGAGGATTTTTATGAGTCTTAAGTTTCTAATGAATCTTAATTTTGAAAAGATATTTGTGAAGGATGTCATTCAAACTGGGATGCACTTTAAAGCTCTGTTTTTACTATCACTGACAGAAAAAGCAACACTACAGATAAAGTAATAGTACTTAAGAATGTGATTTCTAGCACATAATGGTAAGTGATAAGGTTGCACATATTTCTTCCACTGAAGGACAATGCTCCCCAAAGAGAGATGGCCGTGTCATCGAGGTGTATCCACACTGACCGTAAAGAGCTGAAGCCAGAGCACAGGCTGTTCTGAGCAAGCACAACTGCTTCTGTGTGGGGCCCCTTTGAGAACGCAACTCCTGTGTAATTTTTTTTAAAGGGAAGGATTTATAAATTAATCAAAGCCCAGATTATTCACCAGAGGTAATAGAACTTAGAGATGCTTCCTCATCCTAACCCTTTCCCCATTAGGTACCCCTGGTGTTCCCAGAGTCCCGCAGATGCTGTTGCTCATGGCCAAGGTAGACATAGAACACTGTTCAACTTAGTTCACATTGACTGGCTAAAAAGGACCGAGTTAGGAAAGCATAAGAGGCAAGAAGACCCAATACAAAGGAAATCTGAGCCATAAGACAGGATGCAGAAGCCTATAGGGAAGGCAAGAAAGTCCAAGCCAACTTTCTGGAATGGAGCCCAGCACCTGGCTGTCCATTATACTTTTCTTCCTCTATATGTACATGAGAATATATATATATATATATATATATATATATATATATATATATATATATGGAGGTGAGAGGGTGTGACTTCACTCTGAAAGGAGCTATTCCCTCCTTGGGTTCTTAATATTTTCATTCCCTCTTTTAAAGCAGGCATAGACAGAGATAGTGCCTAAAATTTGAGTGGTGATGAACATAAGGCCAACCCTCTCCCACAGTGATTGAGAATAAAAGTGAGGAACTACCAGCTCCTGCCATCTGTACTGCCAACAGAGGCTCACCCAGGACCTGGCCCAGTGAGGATGGGGGCAAAGGAATACAATTCTGCCCTATCTTATATTCTCATCATTTCCTGATCTTTTTGTGCCAGCCCTCAGTCCTCAGAGACTGTTCTGTTGTGACAATCTTCTGAGATGTCAGAGACAAAGCTTGAACACTTCAGAGAAACCCCAGCACCAAACAGTCTGGGGATTCATCTCATATGGGAAAAAGTCCCACCTAATGAAGTTCCCATCAGCCTGAATGCCAGTGTGAAAGAATTGTCAAGTCCTGTTTGCATAGGACTCTGGATGAACCACATAGAAACTCAACACTGACTATTTTTAGTGTTCAATTTGGGAATAAATGGCATAATATTTAGGTTCTTTCATCAATGGGTAAATATGGAGTGACAAATGATTCTTAGATTTAGCAAGAGAATGATGAAATCCTTAACTCCTTCCTTGAAGTTGTTCTCTGCCCACAGATCCTAGCTTAAGTAGTCTTGGACAAGACTGGCTAATAGCTCATGAAGGCACATTAGTGCCTTTCAACTACTTATTAGGAAACACACATCAAACAAACAAACAAAACCATCATGGCTGTGTGGAGTTGCAGTGAAATGTGCTCTTACCTCCAGCAGCAGCCGTCCCTCCTGCACAGGGAGCCCTCTGTGTGAGTGGTCTTCAGGTGGCAGGGCTGGAGCTGGCCATACACATGTCTCCTGCAAGGCTGTCAGGGAAGAATGAATAGATGAGCCCTTTGCAGAGCCCAGACCTGCTAGTGGTTTTTAAGTCATGTTTTTCTTATGTTTGTCTGAATTATACCCCATGGTTCCTGCTAGATGTTCAACCTAGGCTGTGCTGTTGTCCTATACAAGATATGCAGCGTCTCCAAGAAGTCCTAAAAAGTTGTATAATTGGCAGCAGGATCAAGTTGAGGCCCCAGGTCAACAGGAAAGGGTGACCTAATGTAAAAGTGTGACCAACTCATGCACCACCCACCCTCATCTTGGAAACTGCTCTTGATTCTCCCATCTACCCAGTCTTGAGACAAAGTATGGCTTCCTGCCAGGTCCCCTTCATGATCGAGGATCCCAGGATTCCCACAGACATGTCACCTACTGAGATCCAAATACCAGCAGATCTCAACAGAACTGATGAAGGGGAACCAGTCTGCCATCTGCTTCAAGGCTAGGTCAGGGTCCTCTGAGCCTACCCATATCCCATACCCTCATCTCTCCTAGAAGGGAGCAGGCCAAATGTCCTCATCTGGAGGTAAATGAAGTCCCTTGAGAATGCCCACACTTTCCCAAATGCTTCTGAGCCTATGAAGCTGCCAGCCTCCCTGGTGCCCCTATTCAAGTCTGGTCTAATGGCTTTGGGAAGAAAAGTTCATGGTTCTCTTACTAAGCTGGATTCCAGTCTTTGGAGGACTGTCTGCATCTCCACCATTTGGAGACCTAAGACCAGACAGAAAGTCCCATTGCTGAGGGCCACAGCATTCTTAAAAGTACTTTTATCGCCTGCTCACAGCCCACCTCATGCTGAAAAGGATGAGTTTGATAGGCTGGGAGTATTTTTCAGAAGTAAAAGTGGTATTTGAATCAAAATTCTATCATTCATGTGTCACATGAGTTGGCCTTCAAACCCTGATGCCCAAGAGTGGTGGTATAGTTTGGTAATCCTTACCTAGAATCTGAGCCTCATTATGACTCCATGCCTCCCTTTCTGAGTGAGGCATGGAGTTCCTACCAGTCTACTGTCAGCTGGTCCCATGAAACTGAACTCCCCTTTTTTGGAGCTCTTAGCATCCCCAGAGGTTTGAGGAATCCAGGCTCCCAGGCAGCCCTACTACTCTGGGATCCAGATACTGTTTAACACCCTGCCCCACTCCCCAACAGACCTACACCTGGCCCTCAGAGTTAGCCTTCCTAGTCTCATGCAAAACTGTTGTTTCAGCTTGTTGGCAGCCTCCAGTGTCCCAGAAGTCAATGGCATCCTCAGACAGTCCTACCCACATGCAAGGGTGTTGGTAAGGGTAATGGACGCTGTGTGATAGGCCACCTTTCCCAGGGGAGCCCAGGAGACTATGGCCCCAGTGCAGTGGTATGACCTGTGGGACCTGGTGTCTTTCTCTTCCTTTTTTGAAGCTGCCATTTCTTACCCTTGTCTCCCTCAACTACTGAGACTGGATTTTCTGCACTAAGTAAAGAATGTACCATTTTCTTTGTCAGAACTCAATCACTCCTGGGAGACTTGAGTCCCCGATGCCTCTAGGGCAATGGTTTTCCATCTTCCTAATGCTGTGACCCTTTCATACAGTTCCTCATGTTGTGGTGACCCCCAACCATAAATTATTTTCGTTTCTACTTCATAACTGCAATTTTGATACCGTTATGGCCATAATGTAAATATCTTTGGAGATAGAGGTTTGCCAAAAAGGGTCAGAACCACAGGTTAAGAAAAGCTGCTTTAGGAGAAAGAAAGGGGTGAATCCAGACTCCTTGAAGCCTACCCACCAGTTCTTCACCTCTAACCTCCCCAGTTTGGGCCTTCTACACAGGAGGCAATGATACATTGAGTTTCCAGATGTGGCTTCAGGAGTCCTCCAAGGGGTCCACTTTATTGTACCCCTCTTCTTTGTGATCTGCTCTGCTTCTTCTCTGGCGATAAGGAACAGACTAGCTTCCACTAGCTTCCACGCGGAGGCGCTAGAGCCCCAGGAGGCATCTCCATAGCCCTGGGGCAATATTCCATGAAAACAGCAAGAGTTAAATGAGCAGCTGTCCCCTCCTGCTCTGGGTTGAAGAGAACAGGAAGATTAGGCCTGTGTAGGTCCCACGAAAACCAAGGCATTAGCGGGGAGGATTCCCAGCAGACAGTTTTCTAATGGCCTCCCTGCAGAGGAGCAAGCACCGCTGAGTTTGCACAAGGCTTCCAGAGAACTTAAGCTAGGGTGGCTGAGGGGCCGATAAACTTGTTATGCCGGGACGAGGGTGGCGGTGGGGCTGCTGGACCACTTGAACACAACCCAGAAACTGACCAAATCTACAGGATCTCCCTACTCCAATCCCGAGAGCCAGCTCCGCCTCTTAATGCGGTTTAGGTCCAGCAGAGCTGAGCTCCTGGGACTCCGCCACCCCCATCGCGTGCTTGGCGCCTCCGGCTTCCTCCTGCGGCCACCGGCGTCACGCGATGGCTGAGATCGCGTGCGAGTGAATGGGGCCCCACCCGGCAGGCGTGGGGGTAGATTGGTTGGGGGCCCAGACCCGAGGGAAAGGGATAGAGGTGTGGCCGGGGACTGGGGCGGGACCGGGATGGGAGGGGTTTGGATTGTCTCACCTCTCGGTCCAGTAATGCCTGCCTGCAGTGGCTGATCAGCCGAAGGAGGGTGTCTTTGCTAAATTAAGAATAGTGGCGGTCACTGGGGCCCCCACAAAGCATAGCTAGGGAGTAGGTGTCTAAGAACCAACAGAGGCTTAAGGTGATCCACACGCCTCCGAGAGTCTCTCCACTACTTCCCTCTGCTTTCTTCACGGCTTCTGTCCCTCTACCCTGCTCCTATAGACCTTCCCCGCCCCTGTGGGCTTCTAGGATCATGAGCAGGAAACTTCAAGGCACCAACCCCTACAAGTTTCGACCTGCTCTGCTGGGGCCACTGGCAAAAAGAGGGACCTGCTAGGGAGGCTCACTCAGAAATGAGCACAGAAATTCCTGTGCTCTGTGCCCAGCTCGATCTAAAATCCAGGTAATCCCGTCAACAACCCTAGTCTTTCCCCCACAACTGTAGACGCAGGATCAGTAAATCCCTACCCCAGGAAACACAGTCACTTTTGAGATTTAAAGGGACACTTCAAGGAGTCCTCAATTGGTCACAATCAACTGGAGCCAACGAATCTTTCACTTCTCTTATTTTCTAAAACCTCGAAGTAGTTTATTTGGAACAGCAAGATTTTGAAGAGTTACCATGGAGACAGTTGAAATTGCTACACACAGCAATGCAGCGAGTACAGGCTATCCTGGACACTCAACTTCCTAGTAACATATTTCTCTTTCTCCATACTTAGCAGGTAAGGAGGATCCCTTCTCTGGATGCTAGATACACACAAATCCAGTTATTGCTGGGGGTCAAATGTTTCTGTGGAGGAGAAGCAAGAAGACTGAACCATCTCTACTCCTGGGTAGTGCTGTAATGCCTGAAATATGACTCCTTTTTTTTCTCTTTTCTCTCAGCTCAGTGATGTCAATTCCTACACCTAAGTGGTATGTCTGATCAGTGGGACAGTCGTTTCTACAGTTACTTTTCCCCTGGACTTGCTATGGTCAGAAACAAAGTTAAGCAAGCCAGCTGGAGCAGAGAGATGTTCCAGAATTTTGGCTAAAGTTTTCTGAGTGTTTACAAGGCTGAGTAAAGTTTATTTTAGATTGTCAATAGATAGAGATGTGGGTCCCAGGCAGAGCAGAAAGGAAGGGTAAGAAAAGGATGGGAAAGAAAAGCAAAGGGGGAGAAAGAAAGAACAGGAGAGAAAAGAAGAGAAAGAAAGTAAGAGAGATGACTTGTCACTCAGGACTCACCCAGAATCTCCTGGCAGCAAGCTGGACTGTCCTGGACAGTTGAAATCTCTGAAGCATCTCCTGGCAAATAAGGAGACCTGACTGGAATTTCAGTAAATCAACTTACTTTAGAGTCCCAGAACTACAGCTGGGAAGAACAGGTCTCCGTCAAGATTCAGTCTACAGCATCACAGTCTACTGTGAACATAATGCCGAAGTAAGCAACAAGGCAGAGACAGTATGGACAGACAGAATGACACATTGTCCGGGTCCTGTATTAGGTCACACTATGCTTCAGGGTTCTACCAGTGAAAACCTGTCCCACATATTACTTCACGTGAAGAAGGTGTAAGGACCAGTAGACCTACAGGTACATCACAGCTATTTCAAGGTGCACAGCTGCCAGGCCTGCTGGCAGAATACTCCGCAGTTCTAGAAGGCAGAAACAAGTAGGCATGAAAGAGAGCCCTGGATTCCTGGCTACCCTGTCTTGAGAAAGCTCCGTGAGTGAAGTTGCTTAGATATGGACAGGTTCCCTAAGAGTGTCTCAGGATCAAAGGGGATACCCTGGTGACAGTAGTTATTGGTTCCACAGTCTTGTGATACTCACAGCCCTTTTGTGCATCTAGGATGTTCAGTTGTGCTAAATGCATGGGTTCATCTGTGCATTAGGCAGTCTGATGATTGCCTGATGGTGATGCACCTACTGGGGATCAGGACACAGGGTTCCTGCCACATGCGTGGAATCTCATTAATTTGGAGAAAATCCAAGAGTCTTTGGAAAGGACAAGTCTGAATCTCTTGCTGACTTGTTTCAGATGTTTGAGTGACCAGATCCACAACCAAGGACTGGCCTCTACTTTAACAAGGACAGTGCCTGGGGCCATGACCGACATTGCTTTGACTATGTGTGAGTTGTCCAGTCACACAGCTTCCAATGTCTTAGGTTATTTCAGGCAGGGTAGCATCTGAATCAGGGTCCAGTGAGGCTGGTACAGCTTTCCTAGTGTGGATGGTATCACCCAACTGCTGAGGCCCTTTCCTCCTGTCTTTGCGTGAACTGTAACATAGCCTCTCATTTACATCTGCTCCTGATTCTCAGTTTGTACCTAGGCTGGATCACAGCATTCATCTCCCAGGGTTTCCCATGGATTCAGCTTCCATGATACATGAACC